GAGAGAGAGAGAGAGAGAGAGAGAGAGAGAGACAGAGACAGAGACAGAGAGAGACAGAGACAGAGACAGAGACAGAGAGAGATGGTGAGCGACAGAGAAGGGTGGGGGAGGGGGCATTTTAATGCTTACCATGTTCGTATTTTTTTCCAGTTGGTACGCTCCAGGAGAACAGATTCCCGCTTTGTGGTTCTTTTGAAATAAGCGGACTAACAGAAGCTATAGTATTATGTATTGGGTATATAGCTTCTCAACAGCTTTTTATTTTTTTGTTTTTCCACTATTTCCACTTTAGGTAATGACCAAAAACTGAGTCGATCATGCCGTAAAACACCTACTCAAACAAATAAACAAACAAAGAAGCAAACAAAAGTACTTCTGGTATTTTGTTTTGTTTTGTCTTTGTTCGTCGTTTTCAAAGTTCATGAACATGTATTTCATATTTATTGTTGTCTCATTATGTTTCGTTCATTCTCCTTCTCGCCCGTTCAGTACATGCACGTGTTGGGCCTGAATGGGCCCCAGAGGATGGTACGGAAGGTGGAGGAACTGTTAGGAGACAATTTTGGCGCCAAAATTATCGATGTTGGCGCTGGATCAGGACTTGCCGGAATGGAGGTAAGTAATTTTGTCGATTTTTGCTTCTATTTGTCTTTAGCCCTATCGCAAATAGTTTTCTTTTCCTTCACAAATTATTCTCTTCCAGATTCACATACCACAACCTGCTCTAATTTTTCCGTGAAATCTTTTGTTGGCTAAAGTAAGATAGTATATTATGGGTTTATATGGATGAACCTTATCGTTTTTATGCCTACCCTCCTTAAAGCAATAAGTTGACATTCCCGTTACGACAAACGCGTCAATTTCAAAATGACATAACTGTCTCTTCTACAGTTTGTTCACGTGTGTCAGTCCGCTGTTAAAACAAGACCAAAACAAGTCACTCTGTCAATCTTCTCAGGTCTTTGCATGTGCGTCTAAAGTTGAATGCCTAAGAGAATATAAAAGCCCATAAATGAAGGTCACCGCAAGTCAATGTTCCGACACGTTTTTTTTTAATGTTAGCCTAAAGCTGGTCAAAAAATCAATTGAGGATTTACAGCATACGCTTGAAACATCCAAAAGTTAACGTATTTTCATCAACACAAAACTTTAAGACTGCACACGTTTATGAAACACGGTCCAACAGACGGGGCGAGTACTTTTCGAGACGCAAGTGAAGATGTCTTGACGTTCTTGGGAAGCATTCTCCAAGCTTACATTGAAATGTGGGGGCAGGGTTTATGCTGACGTCTGAAAATGAATTATTTGAAGGCTAGGTTACTGTAAATCATGTATTGTGATATTCCCTGTATGCTTCCAAAGGACAATTTAATATGGGGACCAAGTAAAGAAACCTTTATATAACTGGATCAACATTTTAAAAAAATATATTTTTGATTGATCACTGGCCTGCAGAAGTGTCATGCAAAACAGTTTCTTGGGCATTTGTAAATTAATAAATGAACTGGAATTTTTATTTTTTTTACGCCGACAGACGAAAGTGAACACGCTATATTATTAGTAGAAATATTATTGTAAACATCTACCTCTCATACAACTTTAAGGTGTTAAAAGGGCGTCAAACTCAAAATTGTTATCAATCATAGAAAAAGGCCTTTACCTCACTCATTTGAACAGATCTTTGTTCTAGCTGACACTTGATCGTATATCAACCGAGGGCTTGGCGTCTGTGATGTAGCGGTCAGGCGCTACGCTGTTGCACGCAGGAGACCCTTGTTCGATTCCCGAGGGGGTAGAAAATGTTTATCGAGCATCTCGTTCTTTCTACTGGGATGTATCCATCTCCGTCTCAGCCCGGGTTGGTCCTGACATGCAGGGCCAGAGGCCTACCTGCTAAATGATCTAAAGTGTGTCGATCAGGAAAACATTTACATTTGAAAAAAAGTTTTAAAAATTTCACTTCAGTCGAGTCCATTTTTTTACCGTAACTTTCCCCAGCTTTTCGAAGCGGGCTACAAGAACCTGGACGCTGTTGACGCGTCCCAAGGCTTGCTCAAGGTGGCGGAGAAAAAGGGATGCTACAAAAACAGGATCTGTCAGTTTGTCGGCCAGCAACCTCTTCCAATCAATAACGGTAAGCTACAGCTTCCAAGTTACTTCGTCTCCAGAAAAAAGCGTCGAAATGCTACACATACTGTACTTACCGAACTTGTTAACTGATGATGGGTGACAAAGACGTTATGTTATTATTATATCTCCCACACTTCGACGGGTCTTGACTTCTGATTCAATTACGTTTAACTGCAATTACCCCGGCGTTGCGCTTGTCGACATACATTCTGCAACGTCTTGTTGTTGAGAAAAGAGCAGGGCCTTAATCCTAAATTTGGGTGTATGCACTTTTCGGTAAAATACTCAGGCAAAACAAAAAGGCATATCCACTTTGCCGTAAAACTTATATGAAAGGACAATAACCACATCCACTTTGTGGTACTTTTACGGCAATTATAATCGATACTGCACACGTCTGAATTGAAATGAGTCTTAGATTGGCAGTTTCTTTGCTATTTTATTTTAGATATCCTTTTTTGGACTTTTTAAAATGCTTTTTATTGTGACGTCCTGTTTGGGCTTCCTCGCGACTAGAAGTGTGTATAGCTGCAGCCAATACGTAAGTAGTAACCACACTGATTTTTATCAAAATCGGCTTAATGTTATTCTATTTTTTATTCGGTTTGACGCTCAAGAAACATCTAGAATTACTAGTCTTTCAAAATCAAGCAGCAAAACTGATAATGACATTTTAAAAATTAGAGCACTTAACAATTATTCTGAAAGAACTACATCATTGGCTGCCTGTAAAACGAAGGATCAAACAGAGAAAACTGCCGTTCACTGTTTTAAATATCTAAATGATACTGCACCTATCTAAAACAATTCTGAGAGTTACATCACCCACCCAGAGCCACTGACAAACTTATTCTAAACCCTGTAATATAGTTACAGGACATACGACGAGCATTCCTCTTCCTATTTTGGTCAACATGTCATGGAACGAACTCTCACATGAAGTAAGAGTGCCACTATTATTCAAAATTTCCCAAAACAGCTGAAGCATTACTTATTCACAAATGCATACTTGTCATAACGATGAACTATTGCTTTTTCTGGTACATGCATGTGCATTCCTGACAGTGAGACTGAAAAAAAAAAACCAGCGAGCGAGAATGACAGAGAGAGAGAGGGTTGAAGGAAGGATGGAGAGAGAGAGAGAGAGAGAGAGAGAGAGAGAGAGAGAGAGAAAGAAAGAGAGAGACAGAGAACGATAATGCCATTCTGTCTATAGCAAACAAACATTTTATTATGTCTGTAGCCATTCGAGTTTCAGTTTTATTGTAGCCGTTAATGAGGGTTTATAATAAAATTGTATTCTACATTTATGATTCACTTATTGCTAGGCTCACTGCGTGACTAATTTTAGCATCGAATTTTTTTATACACATACACACATAATGTTACGTTCTAAGAGCGCACCTGTCCAGTTCTTTCAAAATGGGATGTATGTGTGAATGTAATGCACATTGAGCATATTTGTTTTGGGGTTGCTTTTTTCGTGGGGGGGGGGGGGGGGGGGGGGGGGGTTCTTTTAAAAAAAATGGAAATGTGCATCGTTAAATGCTTTTCATTATTATCATTATTACATGCAGGTAGACAAGTTGGACTTTAAAATAGCATTCCATTCTATTAATCTGAAGTTTTATCAGGGTCTCTATTAAACAACATAGAACATGCTCATCATAGCGTATTTCAAACTTCGACTGCACTTTATAGACGGTGCCCATTGGAGGATCGGTTCGGTTCTGTTCGGTTTGGTTACGTTTCTCTCGGCTTCTGTGCACACTATAAATAAACCCCTGCCTCAAACCGATCTCCCGACTCGCGGCCTTGAAAACAAACATATTAATTTGTTCTTGAGGCCGTCAACGGTTTCGTTCGATCTGTGCTATGATGGTAGCTTTTCTCCCTCCATGGAGGAAAATTTTGCTAGCTCCGACGACCAAACAAAACTGAATTTGCCAATGGATGCAGTGTATTACACCTGGAATAATACGGAGTGCCCATTGGGGGATCGGGTCGGGTCGGGTCGGGTCTTGTCGGGTCGGGATGATCGCTTGCCTCGTCGCCTGAAAACAAGCGCGTTTGTTTTTGAGGCGACCAGTCGCGCGCGATCCGCTTCGCTTGTGCTACGACAGCCGCTTTGCGCCCTCAATCTGGCTAGCGAACCGCCCACACCCGACCCGGTTCCCCCTATATGCACCCCGTATTACACCATAGCGGATCGGATATGATCGGGTCGCATCGGCTCGAGTCGAGTTGAGTCTAGTCGAATCGAGTCGATTAATGTCGGCTTCTAAGCTCTCTGCGAATAGTTTGACAAGACTAGCAAACTTTAACCGTCGAACAGTGTTAATGAACACGAAAACTACCTCTCACAACACAGCCATTTCCTTCAAGGGCCGTCTGCCGCCTATTGCGGTTGCTGTGTTGAGAGTTTTTTTTAAAAATCATACAGACTTGGGAAATGTCGATAGCTGTCTAGGTCTGTCATAATCAGCTTCTCCGAATCTACTTTGTCTATTACCACATTCCGTGCACACTCTGTACACACCTGATCTTTCCATGTGTGACCTTGAAAAACAAATGAGTTGTTTTTTTAAGGTCATGCGCAAATTCGGTCAAATTCGATTAAATTGTGCCATGATGGTAGTTTTTACCTATCTATGGAGAAAAATTTGGCTGGCACCGACTGAAGTCGACTGAATTCGAATGAATTCGATTGAATTCGATTGGCAATGTGCACTGTATATTTGACTAGATTGGTGCCCTTGTATTTTTCTTGCAGACACCTATGACGTGGCCGTCCTCTGCGGCGCAATGGGGGAAAGCCACATCCCCAAAATCGGACTGAGGGACATCATACGTATTGTTAAGCCAGGCAAGTCACATATCTTAGAATGTCTTTTAAATGAATACCCTTCTGGGCCCGTAATTTTGGAAATGGTGCTGTAAGCTCAGTGGTAAAGGATAGAAAATATAACAAAAATTTTAGCTACTCTAAGCGTAAATACATGTACCCCTGTTAGGTTCTGTTTAATCTAGTATTGGAAGGTAGAACGAAGTATTGGAAGGTAGAATGAAATAATGGAAGAGGTAAAGCGAGCGAGAGTTAGACGATAATCCCAACTCTGACCTACATTTATAAATGCACATGTTCTCAGACCAGTCGTCAAAATGTGTATACATTGAATAATTTAAAGACGACTCGTAGCGTCTTACTCGTGGCTCTACTATTACTGCCCAGTATAGTCGGGATCTTATTAAAAGAACAAGTAGTTCACTTTTTAACACTTTATGACACAATCTATCCGTATATATTCATAATGTGGCGTAAAACAAGAGGATGATATATCTATGCATAGCATTGAAAGAGTTGAGGTCGTTGGCCTATGAAAATAGAGAGAACGGAAAAAGTAATGTAGTGCTCGTGTCCCTGAGTGTAAAGTAAACGCCCAAGTTAGTTTCTTTCTCAACCACAAGGCCCTTTCAACTTTTTTATCTTAAGGGTCATTTATTTATAACTCTTAGATTCAGTATTGCAAATATTATCTTGTCAGACGGAAAAAGACTAAAGGGGCGGGCTGTTAGACATCTCGTTGTACAGGGTCAATATGAATGTCGACAGTGAGGTAGAAGTGGGCAAAATCCGGATAATCTATTAGGATAACCGGATAATTCTCAATGAAACATTATCCGAATTCAGACTCTTAACTCTCTTTCCTGACCCGCTTGCCGAAGTGGGTGCACCCGTTTGTTGAAGTAGTGCTAACCCGTTTGTTGAAGTGATTCCAACCCATTTGCCGAAGCGATTCATATCATATTGTTTGCCGAAGAGGGGCACTAACATATTATCTGGATTTTGCTAAAGCGACTCATTTCCCAGCCCTACAGTGAGGTTATCGTTGAGTGTCCTAACATCATGAGTGACACGTCCGGAAGAGGTCACGATAGCGATAAGTTAGGCCCTTTGATTGTGTGGTTAGGAATGTTAATTCTTAAACGTATATCAAAATGTTTAACATTTTCCCCAACCCAGTGGGTGGTTGGCGGGTTCTCTTTTTCTTTCATATTTTTAAAAATGCATTTCGTCCTCATCGCCCCTCCTTCTTTTCCTTCATGTTACTCTCTAGTTGTATCATCTCTAATCATCGACACTTATATGACCTAATTGTGCCTTAAAACTCTTTCGAAAACAAAAGAAAAACAACAAAACAAAACAAAAAAACTTGTATTACCTCCCTCTGTTTATCTTTGCTTTCCAACTAACGTACGCGACACATGTCTCTGTTTGTGACAATGTTCTTTCATCGTTCAAGCGGGCGATACGCTCTAATGCTTTGGCCATAACTATTTTATTGACGTCCTGTGTTGATAACATGTTGATGTAAGGAGATAGTATGAGTGAACAGACTCCTAAACTGTGTAAATTGTGTCGATGTGGGTGTAAAAAAACACAGACGCCAAACCTTATGTCCCCGACTATAAACTTGGTGGCTGATGCACGCCAGCAGGATATACAAAACATATTTGATGGTGTGATAACATTGCTTGTGCGGTAATAATGTTTTGTCAAAGTTGAGCTCATCACCTTGCTTTAATTAGTTCTACCTTCCATTACTTTTTTCCTTTTCAACTCGTTACTTTTAGTATGCGATTAACGGATTTTCAACTCTAGTTGAGCTACCTAAATTGTGTTACTTTTATCTGAATATCACAGAAGGTATAACTCTAAAACTAACTCGTCACCATAAAAAGCTCCAAAATTGCTTGTGGTTGGCATAATGAATTCTGCCTGAGAACAATCATTATGTTCTTCTCCAAACTCCAGTCAAACGTCATCAGCGCAGGCCTTTGTAGCTAGTTACGTATGCATCGATATGTAAGGATCGTTTATTCTGTTTCTCAACTTTAAAAAGCCTAATAGTATTCAGGTCATTGTCCCGTCAGGAAAAAAATAAATGTACGTCATCATCTCCTGTGCACTTTTGTCCCCTTTGGGAAGCGGCCATGCGTGAGGGAAGACAGAGAAGCCTGCTCTTTGGACAAATTCGTCGGAAACTTTTTTCCGGCACAAGTGGCTATTCTCCGAGCCTCGCCCGTCAATAGATCGATGGCTATTCTCCGGCGTCACATATAGTAGCACATGTCGCTTCTTCACAGCTTTCCATCTCCCCTGTCGGCACGATATGGCCTGTCACAAACACTCATCAGGGTCGCCATTTTTTCGGAATGCGATTCATCAAAAGTGGACACGCATCCACTACTCAATAAAAGCTCCAGTGACTGAAGGAGGTGGAATTTCTTTTTCAGAGGTGACAGCACCAGAAGCGCCAACAACCCTCAGTCACAACCAGATGTACAAGAAGGGGCATCTGGCACTGAACTCAGTTGCAACAATAATGGCCATAACATGCGGACTGGGGAAATGGAAAGCAGTGAAAAAGCGACATGTGCAACTATACGTGACGCTGGAAAATAGCAATCGATCTACTGACCGGCGCGACGCCGGAGAATAGCCACTTGCCCCTGGAGGCAGACCAGCCTCTGGGGAGTAGCGGTTAGGCGCTTGGCTGATCGATTCGAGTGGGAAGAAAACATTTTATCAAATATCTCGGTCTTTCTGCTGGGATGTTGTAACCCTCTCAGCAAGGTCGAAAGCCTGCCTCCTAAATTATCTTGATTATGTCGATGGGGAAGTAAAAAAAAACTCATACAATTTGAAACTGTTTTTTCATGGTATGGGCACACACGCTACTGCATACCTGCAACGGTCTGGTTTGCAGGATCTTGAGAGTGAGAGCCGATTGAAGTAAGATATTTTACTTCTCTAGTTGTCCCTCTCGTTGTGAAAACTGATGAGTGTGGAGGTGTGTGTACATCGGTTCTGCTTTCTCTTTTGGCTTTTTCTTTGAACAAGAAATAATTGAAATTACGGGTTCGTACAAATATCTTGGTCTCACAATCGATACAAATAATTGACCTGGTGAAATCTCATTATCCATAATATCAGAGCCTGAACGTTTTAGGGGAAACTTGGGTCCTTCCATCTGAACATCCATCCTCCAAATATGCTTTGCCTGTACAGTAAAAAGTTTGATTTTTTTATATAACTTGCTATAGTAGCAATTTAGAAAAACAGCACATCAGCATATACAAATTGATCTGAAAAGCACCAAGAACTTTATTGGTAGAGACCTGAATAACTTTAAATTTCTCTACGGAAGAATGGGACGTGGAAGTCGTATGTTCGAATCCGAGGAAGCGCAAATAAGTTTTTCTTAACTTTCCTGGAAAAAAAAGAGTTCCTTGCAGCCAAGTATCCTGACAGTGTTCAGATGTCCAAACTGTCTTTTTGTATCTAAAATTTCAACAGCCACAGTCACAGTGGACCGAAGCATTCCATCTATTCGAAATGCCTTTTTTGTCGAGTAAAGAGTTAAACTTTTTAGATTTTGAAAAACCCAGATAAGTATAAACATAGTTTTTGTTACGATTTTTGTTTTGTTTGTTTCTTTCTTTTTCAGGAGGTTACATCGTAAATGTGTTTCGTGAAGAGGCTCTTAGGGTTCCGTACTATGGAGATGGTTTAGAGCCCTACATGAGACAACTGGAGCAAGAAGGCTTATGGAAGGAGCACGCACGTCATGTCTTCCCGAAGAACATCGACAACGTTGAGGGACTTATGTTGGTGCATAGAATTATGTGAGGAGGCGAAGTAAACGGCGGTGGGTGGTTAGCGGTTGCTTCGTTGTGGTTTGCTTCTTCTTTCCTATCAAACATCTATCGTCCTTATCTCCCCTCCTTCTTTTTTATGTTTGTTACTCTCTTGTAACACCTCTAATCTTCTGGCGCTCGTCATAATTTAATATGACCTTATGTTGTTGCGAGCGTCCGTAAAACCTCTACGGAAACAGAAGTAAAAGGCTGTGTCGATGGAGGTGTGAGAAATAACAACAACAGAAAACAAGAAGTGAGAGAACTGGCGTGTGTGGTGTAGCTGTTACGCTCTTCACTGTTGAAGTACGATGAGTTTAATTCCCGAGTCGGGAAGATTTTCATCGAGTATCTCCGTCTACCTGCTGCTTTGATGATGCTACACCCCACGCAGTCCTTCCTGGTTGACGTTTACAGGCTGGATCGAAGCAGCCAGCTTCCTAGATTACCTATATTGGGTCGATGAGAGTGAAAAACTTTCAGAACTTTGAAGGTAAAGAGCACTTAAAAGAAGTGATAGATGCGTTTGTTTGTGTGTATGTGTGCGCGCGCGCGCGCGCGCGCGTGTGTGTGTGTGTGTGTGTGTGTGTGTGTGTGTGTGTGTGTGTGTGTGTGTCTATGTGCGTATTTCTTTGTGTGTTTGTGCTTATATCAAGATATTGTGTGTATTTGTGTTTGTGTTTGTGTTTGTGTGTGTGTGTGTGTGTGTGTGTGTGTGTGTGTGTGTGTGCGTGTGTGTGTGTGTGTCTGCAGCAGTAATAAATCGATGAGAGTGTCATACATTCGCTTTATCAGATATCCAGAATAACGGAATGTAAAATAGGTACGTGCGTGTATCTGTTGTGTTTGTAGACGCCTGGGTTTTTTTCAATGTCAATAAACATTTATTGTATGCGGGTTATTTTTGGTTTGTTTGTATTTGCATTAGCCTGCTTCCAGTGTGTACTGTAATTTTAGTTTTTAAAACTCATTTCATAATTAGGAATACCGCGACAATGCAGAGGACACCTTGGGAGAAGAAGCATTGACACACCCGTCGTGGTTTTGTTGAGGGTGGGAGCAGGGGTGGGGGGTGGGGGGGTGGATTTGGATTTTCATCTTATGTTGTCATTGTTTACGAAACGATTTCTAACGTCTAACAGTTACGGTTGGGTTGAGTTTATGCGTACAGTATATTGTGATAGGCTATAATATTGCCTAAATATGTTGCAAGTGCCGTAAAACTTTTACGGTACTAAAACAGGATAGACCTGTAAACTTTAATTGCCACTCGTCAGCGAGACAAAGTTTTTCTAGTCAGGCATTGTTCCTGTTAATGATAGTTGCTGAAAATCGATGCGAACAATAATATATAACCAGTCACGGACTCACAGCTGTTGTTATTTTTCAACTACGTGTATGTAATATCCTGCATGCATTTTCCAATAGTGGCGTCGGTGGCATAGTGGTTAGGCTCTCGGACTCGCTACCGTTATCTGTAAGGTCGTGGGTTCGGATCCCGTCCGGGACCCGACGTTGTATCCTTGGGAAAGGCACTTTACACGAATTTTCCTCACTTCACCTTTGTGGGAATGGGTACCCGGCTATAGACAGCGAAAGATCTTGTCAGTTTGTTAGTCTTTGAGCGCTTAATCAGCTGCTTGTACTGTATGTTTCCCGGGAAGCTGAGAATGTTTCGGAGTGTTCTATGGTCTGCTGGGGTAATAATATAGTGTAAAGCGCATAGAGCCTGCTGTTGAGCGGAGATATGCGCTATACAAATGCTATTTATTATTACAATTACTGGTCTACAACTGACTTGCATTTTGATCCGCCTCCCCGCCCCTCCCCCCCTCCAACCCCGCTCAACCTCACCTCACCCCATGCCCTCCCGTCCAGGTCGGCGGTAGGTTACATCGACATAATAAATGTCGTGGACGTTGTTGTTGTTGTTGTTGTCACGCTAATCTCTGATACGGTCAACTCTGTATAAAATGTGTGTGTGAGTGGGGGGGGGGGGAGAGATGTCACCACGAACCACGTTAATGCCTCATGCCTACTGCATTATAATGCGGTTAAAAATTCGTGGCGCAACTTATCCTAAAAAATCTCTGCTCTTAAACGGGTCAATCAATGTCATCCATTATACTTTGCACAGCAATTTGTATCAATTTGTCTCAACTTAAATCACATTTTTCCACAATAATTGAAGTTAGATTTTTTTTTTAAACTTTTCTTCATAAACATATAAAATACTACAAATTTCCGTCGCGCTGAAAATGAGTGTTTACAGCACTTCCCGCTTCTCAAACTCATTTTCCATAGGCTGACGTCACAGGTCACTGATGACCCTATTTTGTTGTGAAACTTTAGATTACGCACAATTACGATCTCCTGATAAATGACAAGTGGAATTGTACTGAATTTCTCCTTTCTACTGCTACTCCTTGGCTCCTTCTTACTGCTGTCTTAGGTGTGGATCTTATAGTAGGTAAGATGCACACCTAGCCTTCTCAGATAAGGGTAAAAAATCTCGGAGGTCCAGCGTAAAAGTTGCGCCCGTTAAAGATCCTTTTGTTGTCCAAAATCGATGAGTAGTCTTCGTGAGCTACCCGGGCAAAATTTAAAATTTTCTTCCAACTGAAAATGTTTAATGTGTCCCGCGCGCTCATATGACATTATGCGCCGTAAAACACTTACTCACCCCCCCCCCCCCCCCCCCAAAGAAAAAACAAACAAACAAACAAAGCAACAACTACAAATAAAACAACGCCTGGATTTCTGCTCCTACTACATAACTATAACTATTCTCAAGTCAAAGCGAAGCAGCACGATAGTGAGGAGAAATCATAGTCGGATATTGTAACAGGAAGGTGCCTTGGTTTGATGCCGTCAACTTGACTTTATTAGATACCGATAAAAATGTGCTATTCTCCAAACAATCTTCAAAGATTATCACAAACAACTCTCAATATAGATATCTATTAATATGATATAACTTACGAATAAAAGAAGTGAAGAACAGTGTAACCCACTCCTTTTAGTAGCAATGCACTTGTGCCCGTGCTTTTTAGTTTGAACAATGATGAAGTGGATTTGGATTTTCATCTTATGTTGTCATTGTTTACGAAAGGATCCATGGTTGCAAAAACGGAGTTTTAAAAACTTTAAGATATGGTCCGCACCGTTAATTGCCCTAAACTTTGTTTCAAAAATGAGTTCCATAAGCACATTGTTGCTATTGGAAGAAACAGGGCGGGTTTGTTTTAAAAGTGCTAATATCTCAGCTCATAGGAAGTACACATTTTAAAATCTGTAAAAACCTTGGACTGAGATTTTTTTCATTATGTTTAGTAAGGGATTTCCCAGAATACAGAGCACAGGTGTTTAAGAAATATTCTTATGTAGGGACAAGTCTGTGTTCGATAATTGATGAGATGTTGACAAAAAGTTGCGCCACGAATTTCTGACCGAACTATAGTATCTTTTCACAAGACTAATATTGTTTTGTTTTTTTAAACAGCCTGTGTGCCGTAAGATCAACAGTAGGACTATCGGACTGGTTTCCCATCAGGGTGTGATCTCTCTCCGCTTCTCTTCATCACTCACATGGATAAGTTCACGAAAGTAGCAAGTGACAACATCAATAAACATAACGAGCTCGAGCTTCTATTAGCTGATGACCAGAGTATATAAAATACAGATGAAGAGGAATTACAAAAACACACCACAAAACTAAATGAGGAATGTAAACATCTAAACAAGAAAATATCCATTTCAAAAACAGAAGTTATGAAGGTCAGCAAAAACCCAGGGAAACTCAACATCCTTATTGAGGGAACACAACTCAAACAGAAAGAGGAATTTAAATATTTGGGAAGCATTTTCACACAAGATTGGCGCATGGACAAAGAAATAGAAACAAGGGGCTGTTCAAATAAAATCTTACACCTGGAAGGGGGGGGGCGGGGGGGGGGGGGGGTCTTTGGCTCCTGAAAGAAAAGTGTAAGAAAGGGGGGGGGGGAGGTCTTGCACCTATGTAATATTACACTTTTGTGAGGTGAAAAAAATAAGAGAAAAAAGGGTGGCCTCGGTCAAGAAAGGCTGCATGGTGTGCAGAGGCCACAAGGGATGTGGAACATATTTTACAAGTATTACAGCATTGAAGAGGCACAGGGTTTTATACCGGAAGAAATGGAGGTGGAGGAAGAAGCGGAGGAAGAGGAGACAGAGCAGGAAGTTGGAACAAGACCCATATTTTGAAGACAGCTCAGCAGATGCGCCTGTTTTAAAAAGTGTTTTTGACATAATGATTTACACTGCTTCGTTGACGATAATTAATTTCACTTTTTGTTTCAAGCAGAATAACAGATACAGTGGAATCCTGAAAAGGTCAACTCTTGCTTACAGTCAACACCTCAATGTGGTCCCGTTTCTTACCTTCTTTGTTTAAGTAATTGTGTTTCTGATACGTGTACAGTCAACCGCTTGAGTGTTAACCTTGCGTAAAGTCAACAGTTTGGGGCTAAATCGCAAGATGAATTCATTTAAGAAGAGATACTTAGGACACATCTCCCATTACTTTGTTCGCTCATTATCTCTGGTTTTGGTGACAACTTCAGAATTATACTCACTGAAATTGAGCTTACATCTCGTTACCAGGTACTTTGTAATTTTGTGGCTGTCATCTTCAATTTTCAATGGCGAGTAGTACGATGGATAAAGTCAACCTTGCACAAAGTCAACGCTTTTTTGGGGGTCCTGAATTCCACTGTAATTTGTTTTATTTGTAATTAAAGCGCTTTTGAAATTGACATGAGTCTCAATATTGTTCTTATGAGTAAGAAAGAGTGTTTGCAATATTTTGCTTTAATGATCTACACTGTTATTTTTTAGTAAATGTAGAACTGCATATTATTATGTGCATACGTATGACATCTGTGTGTGTTCCGCGCCATTTACCGATCTTAAGACTGCACTGTGCGTTTTAACGATCGTATATTTGAGTGGCAATCTTAAGATTGTGGGGCAATTTTAAGATTGCGTTGCGCATTTTAACGATTATAAAATTGCATCAGTCTTGTGAGGCCTTCCGTTTCATAT